CTGACCTAGGGAGGATTTTATTTGGGGTTTATCTTTTAACAATTCGACAGAGACACAACTTTAAAATTTGATTTAATTCGGTTTTATCGGGGGGGAATGTATTTATGTTTTGTTTTAAATATGTTGTGCGCCGCCCTGAGTCCCGTTGGGAGAAGGGCGGCATATAAATTAAATTTATTATTATTATTATTATTATTATGGCTGGCTGGCTGGGCAATTGTGGGAGCTGAAGTCCACCAGTTTTAAGACTGCGAAGGTTGGACTTCCTGGCCTAATGGATAAATGTGTCCCGGGGAGAACGTGCTGTAGGTAAAGCTCAAACTCTGTGGTCCTACCTCCGTCCGTTTTCCAGAGAAGGCAGTTCAAGAAAAGGTGGGCATCTATTTTGTGACAGGTACGGTGTCTTGCCAGGATGACCCGTGGCGAATTTGGCTGCCAAAGGAAGTTGCCAACTCGAGCTCCTGGGACATAGACATTCTCGGTACGTTTGATGATGCTTCTTCAGCTATTTTGTCTCTTTTTGAGTTTGAATTGATGCTTTTAGGAATGGGTCGTGTCTAACCCTTTGGCTGGTTTTTCTATAGATGGCAGCGGGGATGATATGGAAGACTGTCGTTATCAAATTGACTACGGAAAGCAAGTGTTGATGGTTGGGCACCAGAACTGTACTGAAATGGAGGTAGTCCTCACTTTATAACAGTTCATTTAGTGACCGTTCGAAATTACAACAGTGCTGAAAACAGTGCTTCTGACCGTTTTTCACACAAACGTTGCAACATCCCCAGGGTCATGTGATTAAAATTCAGACACTTGACAACTGACTCATAGTTACGACGGTCGCAGTGTCCCGGAGTCACGTGATCCCCTTTTGTAACCTTCTGAGCAACAAAGTCAGAAGATTCACTTAACAACCGAATGGCTAACTTAACCACTGCTGTGATTCCACTGTGGCGAGAAAGGTCATAAAATGGGGCAAAACTCGCTTGTCTCACTTTACAGCCACAATTTTGACCTCGACTGTGGTTGTAAGTCGAGGACAACCTATCAGATGGATATACTGGCTGGCTGGGGAATCCTGGGAGCTGAAGTCCCCACATCCTAATATAATAATAAAGTTGGAAGGGGCCTTGGAGGTCATCTAGTCCAACCCCCTGCTCAGGCAGGAAACCCTATACCATTTCAGACAAATGGCTGTCCAGCCTCTTCTTAAAAACTTCCAGTGTTGGAGCATTCACCATTTCTGGAGGCAGGTTGTTCCACTGGTTAATTGTTCTAACTGTCAGGAAGTTTCTCCTTAGTTCTAGGTTGCTTCTCTCCTTGATTAGTTTCCATCCGTTGCTTCTTGTCCTGCCAAGTTTGGAAAAACACTGCTCTAAAGCGGAGGTCTCCAAACGGGGCAACTTTAAGACTTGTGGACTTCAACTCCCAGAACTCCCCAGCCAGCATGGGGAATTGAATGGTGTTGAGTCTTAAAATCGCCAAATTTGAAGAGCCCTGGTCTAAAGGATAAAGGGGTTGAACTGATCAAGGAGGGAACCCACTTAGAATTTTTTTGACAGTTAAAACCATTAACCAGTGGAACGACTTACCTCCAGAAGTTGTGGGTGCTCCATCGCTGGAGGTTTTCAAGAAGAGACTGGACAGCCACCTGTCTGAAACGCTGTAGGGTCTCCCGCATGAGCAGGGGGTTGGACTAGAAGATCTCCAAGGTCCCTTCCGACTCTGTTATTCTGTTAAAAGGCAGAATAGGTAAAAAAAAAAAAAAAAAAAAAAAAGGGCTGATTTTCAGAGCTCAGCCAAAACCGAACAAACTAAAACGATGGTGTAACTTTGTGGACCGGCCCAAATGCAAAAACATAAATGTGTTGGGCTTGCGTGACTTGCTAACTCTTCCAGTAAAAGAAAGGATCTTGAAATTGCTCTTGGGGAATTCACAGCTTCCTGTGAAGGCAATCTCTCTGCCTTTTTTTTCATTCCCAGGATAACAAGCAGCGCTTGAGATTTAGACTGCAGTTCAACAATACAGAGGGGGTTCGGCCCCAGGATGAAACTTACAGTGTTGACTGTGACACCATCCAGGCGGATGAAGCGTTTTCCGACGATGGCTTCACCAGCGCTACAAACTGCACCAAAAACTCCATGGCAGTAAGTGTGAAGACGGGGTTGGCTGAGAGGTTTAAACGCTGCTAAACAACTAGACACAGAGGTGTTTTTTTCCCCTTGTGCCTAATTCCCATGGTCTGTCTTCGGTATATTTACCCACATAGTATGGCTGTCTAACTTTTATCCTTCTCATCTTTTCTACCACCTTCTCGTATGATGGTGATGATGATTACCTTCTCTTATGATGATGATTATTCTGTTGTTTTGCGTGTAAACAGAGAACTTCTGCACCGGAGACAAATTCCTTGTGTCTAATCCAGGGTCTTCAAACTTGGCCCTTTGATGACTTGTGGAATTCCTCGTGCCTGGCTGAGGAATTCTGGGAGTTGAAGTCCACAAGTCATCAAAGGGCCAAGTTTGAAGACCCCCAGTCTAATCCCACT